TTTGCATTAATTAATTAGCCCAAATAAATTGTTCTTTATCATCTTGTGTGGACCATGATAGGTGAACCACATAAATGAGCCAAATAGGTAGAGGCTTAACCTATAACTTTATAGCCGTCAGTTATTCCCTATCTCTTAACTGACTGGTCAAGGATAATGTGAGATGATTAATTCATTAATTTATTAAAGAGACTTGCTGATCTGGTTCATATAAATCAATCAGTCAATAACCAAAATACAATACTTTTTTTTTACTCTTTCTATTATCTCTGAACTCTCTGTAAATTATGAGGGTCTAGTGAGTTGTGTGTCTGCCTTTGCTCTAAATAATCGAGGTACCATGATCAATTATGAAATCTTGAAGTATGCATGTCACTTTATTTAAATCTTATTTGATTATATGAATTAAAATACTAATGTTAACGCTAACCCAAAAAATCAACTGTTTAGATCTTACTTTTTAAACTATTGTCTCCCAAGAACTTAGGATTCAATTTAAAAACAAAGGTAGATATATAACTTATGCATGCAAAGTACAGGCTTAAGAAGTAAGAATTCTTTTGGGTAAAAATGATGGCTATTTCGAGGGAATTTTAATCATTCAGCCGAACAATATAAATTTGTCAAGAATTACTTGTCTTCCATACAGTATGCGTGTGTGTGTGTTCTACTTCAAATGGGAAGAACCTGCTGAACTCTCTTAGCCAAAATCTCTTATAAAAGATGAGACAGGGTCATTTTTTAAAAATAAATATTAATATGAATCATAGGTATAAGATAATACGTAGAATGTATTGTTAATAAGTTTCGTTAATAACTTAACAAGCATGCATCAATGAAATAATGAGTTAAATTACGATTTTCACAAACTCATTTTATATTTTATATAACAAATTCATTTATGCTGCGTTTGAATGTATGAGAATTTAAATTTAAATTTAAACCAAATCCCATAATTAGATACGTAAAAGTCGATGGATCTGAAGTTGATCTAAAACCAAATCCATACTTTATTATAGTTTTTTAATAATTTCAAAATTTCTCTAAATTTTAGTTATTTAAAATTTTAACTATTTCAACATTCTTGTTTTCTTTATATTTTCATTATTACTGCCCCTGTTACTTTCATCTCTCATCCTTGACTTTCATCAATTGAAAAATATTAGTAAGCTCATAACTTTTAATCTCTATTTTACTTTAAAATTTTTTTCATTACATAAATAAACTAGATTTTATACTCATGCGATGTATGAGAATATTAATCCAAAATTTGTATATTAATCCTCAGATTTTATATAAGCTTACTTCTCAATGTTTTATAAATTGATTTCATTAAAACCTCCCATCTCCTCCAATTTTTTTTTTCAGAACAAGTATAGTAAAAACTAATTAATTTAAATATTGAGTAAATAATAATTTGATAATTTTATCATGTATTTATGTCTAAAAAAATATGAAATAGAATTGTTCAAGTAGTTAAAAAATAAATAATTATAATAATGAAAAATAAGTATAGTTTTCCAAGTATAAGTAATTTTATAATTTAATTATAAAGAATTATATTTTTTTATGGGTTGAATGGTAAAATGGCCCTTGAATTGTAAGTCATGAACACTTGGAACCCTGAACTTTTTTTGGTATAATATTGCCCCTTCAATCAATAAATGTTAACTTTGACCTTTAGTTAATTAAAAATTTACAAAAAAGGATTGAAAACATTTTCTTGATCTTTTTCTATAAATTTTTTGGGTTTAGAGTCTTTTTCCATAATTTTGATATTTTTTCTATAATTTTTTAATTAATTAATTATTAAAGTTAACTTTTATTAACGATAAGTGTGACATTATATATTTTTTATAATTAAATAAAAATATTGGATAAAAAATGAATTTAGAATTCAAATCCAAACACTTGTTGACCTTTAATTTAAGGATGAAATTACCCTTTAATCCTTTTTTTCTTATTTTTAGGCAATGCACAAGGAATTTTTACCAATTACATTATAGAAATATAAAATAAATTAATTTATAAAAAATATAAGTGACAATTTGTTTTATTTTTGAATTTGAGTTCTCAGTTACATTCAATATAAATAATTTTTTATTTTGATCTATAAAGTAGATTTTGTTTTACAGTTTGTTCCTCATATTTTCTAAACAACTTATTGCCTTAGATTTTTTTTACTCCGTGCATATTAATAAGATAAATAATAATTTGTTCTATTTTTATACAAATTATATTTGAATATCTTATCAAGTGTACATTAAAAATATAAAGAATAATTTTTTAAAAAAATGTGTAATCTCCACGTAAATTATTCTAAAATATTTTACATCCCATGTACCTTATATATTTATAAAAAAAAACTAATGTCGTATTTTAAATTTAAAAAATGATTACCTCATAATTTGCATACTTACGTATTTTATTAAAAAAAAGTTATAAGATAGATTTAAAATTTGGTAAATTAAAAAAAGTTAGAGTGACACTAAAGTACTAAAGGGACAATTTTAAAGAAAGTCCTAACAATTTTAAAAATATAAGAAAGTCCCATTTGGTAAATATAAGAAGATGATTGCTATTAAACATCATATTTTAAATTTAAAATTTAAATTTAAATCCATCAATCTAAACATTACCTTAAGATTTTTAATAATTTCATTTGATTTTATGTAATAATTCTCTTGTACATTTTCAAATATCTCATTTTGCATATGAGCCAGTAAATTAACAAGATAAAGTTCATAAAATAACAAGCAGAGTTAGTCTTTTAACTAATCATTTTTATGTTACAAATTAAAGGAAATTAATAATAAGCCGGCCATGTGAACATATTATTTCCTAACATTTAATTGTTAATTTATAAAGAGAATCTTATTAAATACATGAATTTTCAAGCATTTTAATTTGCAAGTGACACTGGCAAATTAACAAATGGAATCTGATAAAATGACCAATTTGAGTTAAGACTTTAACAAGTTATGTTCATTATATATATATGTATATAATTTTTTGTGCCATATGATTAATAAGTGGCTTGTGATCAATATTATTTTAGCAAGCTAAGAGTTCATGTGTTCAAATCATCCTTACTTATCTTGGAGGATGTATTCTTCGGCCACAGTGGCAGAGATATGATCATTAGAGCCCTATGGTCATTTTTAAAAGTAAATGAAGGATATTTTAATAATTTTTTATTAAAATATAATTTTAATTTAGTCCCTTCATCCCATTGCGGAGTTTTAGAATTTATTGGGCTTGATTTTAAAGCAAGTTAACATTGTGACACTTCACTGAAACTTAATTCACTTTATATATATATATATATATTAATTATAATTATAAGCTATTTATTTAATTAATTTGTCATTGGTCAATTTAACCCATTGGATCATAAAAATCGAGATCCGATCTAGTGGCATTTTCAATTTTACATCCCGTTCATCTTTTGAAACTTTGTGAGAGAGAGAGAATATGTTTGTTAAAATGTAACATATGAAACACGAAGATATTTAAAGCGAACATTGTTTTTGGCCAACACATTTTAGAGTTTGGATAAAGGATTTAAGACTGGTTTGAATTTCAGTTAGGTATAATTGATTATAAAAATAATTGATTAAATGGTTGATTTTAATTATATTTAATTAAGTTATAACGTAATCTATTTGGATATTATTTTTTTAAAATTAATTTTAACATAATTGAATGTATTTGAATAATTTAGTTAGAATTAATTTTAGCAGTATAAATTATCATAAAGGTCATTGCTTTTCAAAATTAAATTATTGATAAATTTAAATCTAATAGTATTAAATTTGTTAAATTTTATTTAAAAAGTAAAATATATTATTTAAATTATATATCTGATTAATTATAAAAAATAGATTATATTAGTATTAACAATTTAATTCACATAAATAAATAGCTCAATATTTCTTAGTTCAAATAAATTTAATAAAAAAAAGATTTAATTCTTAAATAAAAAACATCAATTTTATAATAAGTAATAAAGATAATAATATACAAATTGATCTTTAATGATATTATGAATATGAGTCATATCTGATAAAAATATTAAGCACTGTCTTAAAATTTTGGTAACATGAAAAACACAAGAATGAAATAGATTTTGTGCTATAATTTTTTATTGGGCTTTTTTGTAATTTTGGCACACGCTTTTTGATCAGATTTTCTTGGACCTTTATTGTAAATTTTGCTTTTCTTATTCCCACGCATTCGAACGAACGCCGAAGCTGACAGATATGTTGCTGTTTGGGTAATTTGCCTTTAAAAATCGATTTACTCCCGAAAAAAAAAAAAAAGGATTCTGTGACAAACCAAACAAGCACTTAGATTGAGTAGCCTAGATCCATTCATTTAATGAGCAAACTAATTACTGTCATTTGCTTTTATTAATATTTAAAAATTATTAAGATGTATTCATCTTAAAAAATTAAACAACCTACATAATTAGAATACTCCTCACATACATTGTCTCCTCTAAAAATTTAAGATTTGATATTTTCTGAGCATCATATGACAAAATCTTTAATAACCATTCAGTTAAGTCAAATACTACCTCCGTCCTAAATTATAAAATACTTTTGGAAGAAATTTAACATTTCAAAATATAAGATACTTTGAAAAGATTAATGTTTTATTAAATATGCTTATTTCAATATTACCATTTCCTTTTTTCTCTCTCTATTTAATTTATATCTCTATCTCTTTTTAATATATTAAATGAAGGGTATTATATCTTTGTTTTGAAAGAATAAAACTGTTAAATATATTTAATAATATTTATTAATATGTGAGATTTATTTAAAAGCGTCTTGTAATTTGGAAATACTCATTGAATAATTAGATTTAAACTATTCATCCAGATTCAAGATGGTATACTCCACAATGATTATAATTTATTTGTTCTATATTTAATCATTAGCCAGCTATCCTAATCTCGAATTTGATGAAAACTGCTGGCGTTCATGAACTCAAAGTCAACGAAGCTTGAGGTCAAAGAAGAATGCGATACTTAGAAGGGCAGCCTCTGTCGATCTGCTCAATGTTACTCAACCAGCGGAGGTTTGGGTTTCAACTGATGCAACACCTGAGCTGATACATCGCTTCTTGCTTGGTATGTTTACTATGATCCCACTTTTCTCTTATTTCTTTTCATTTTCAAACTCTTGCTTCATATGATCTCATTGCATTTCTCAAGGGAAAAAAAAAAAAAAAAAAACAGAAAACTTTGTTCAAGCATAGTTCAGTCTTATAAGTTCCAGCGTAACTCCAACTGTCATTTGATCTCTGCATACTAGTTTTTCTTGCAGATGGGTATGGATTATCAATATCATCAGCATGCATTTCTTCTTGTATTTGAAGTAATCTGACTGGTATGTTGGTTTTACTATTAAGCTGGAGATCATTCTGAATCCTCAAATTTGTCCATTACATATGTTGTTGTCCGCACAGTTTTACTTATATTCTACAATGAAACAACTATAAAAGAAATAATATGTAAGTATCTTATAAGAATATTAATTATAATCAATGGCCTTAAAATTATGAAATTTCAGGAAAAAAACTATGGTGCTCAGTTGGGATTAAAATTTTTAAACTGAATTTTTTCAATATTCCTTCCAGATTTTCAATATTTATCTTTATTATTTTCAATACAGTTTTTCAATTTTTCAATAGTCATGTTAGATATTTTCAATACTCATCTTTCATGATTTTAATACTGAAAAGAATTAAAGATAAATCTTTTTCAGTATTAAAAACTTGAAAAATAAGTATTGAAAATATCTAAGTTGTCCATTAAAATTTTAAAAAACTAAATACAAAAATTATATAAGATGACTATTGAAAATATGGAAGAAGGGTATTGAAAAAAATAACTCAAATTTTTTAATTCAGTTAAATATTTTAGTACTCTTTTGGGATTTCAAAATTTCTAGATCTTTAACAGTAAACAATGCTCGTAAAGGGTACTCAATCGTGATTTAGTAGGAGTTCCTGTAGAAGGAATGGATTTACGAAACTCACAGAAACAGAGCCACTTGATTTATCTAGTAGTGTTATCAGCGATTCAATGTTATAACTATTTTACACCCTCACTATTATAGAAATTGTCTCGGTGTGCAATACATGTTCAACAAACAATAACCGACTACCCTGTAGATACGACGAGTTCAGAGCTGCGCAAAGCACCAAGCCAAGAACGACCTGGTGTTGCTTATTTACTCGTTTCCACATAATCAACATGAGGGTGAGATCTGATCTATTAAGTTCTTGCGCTGATGAGTTTCTTGAAATTCTCTTCTGACTCCTGTAAAATTCTCTGAAGAAGTTATATTAATGCTTGAACTGGCCAATGGATGCAGCAAAAAATAACGTTCAAGGCACAAATGGACTGCGAGGTATGCAGATACAAGGCACTGAAAATAGCCACGAATGTACGAGGTAAATACATACATATATACAGTCGTGTGTGATATGTCATGGGGTCATATAACCATATAGAAATAGATAGTGTATAATATATATATATATATATATATTGGGTTTACTCATGTTGGAACGGCATACATGAAGGGGTGAGCTCGGTGTCATTAGAAGGGAACGAAAAAGAGCTGTTGGCGGTGACGGGGGAAGATGTGGACATCGTTTGCTTGGCTAAGATGCTAAAGAAGAAGTTGAGGCTTGTCACTCTTCTTAGGGTGGAGGAAGTGAAGCCCAAAAAGGTTGACCAAGGCAAGGATAGGGACAAGGACAAGGCAAGTGTTCTACCCAGTAATCCCTGCCTCATGTGCCAGAGCCCAAAAACACATGATTTTCCCCAAAGAGAAAGAGCAGAGATATTTGATTTTTTCAGAAACGAAACAGTGAAGCTGTTTGGTCCACCACTGATTGGATCCACGTTTAGAGACGAAAAGAGAAAGAGTTTGCTGCGGAAATTGAGAAGAAGAAGAGATTTTATCAGGCTTCTCTTGAGTTATCCTGTGAGAACGGTGCATGATGGCAAACTCAAGGCTTGGTCTCATGAAGCTTCACGTAAAAAACACTCGCTCGAAGAGTTGAATCGTCTACTAAATGAGAACCCCTTTAAATTTTTCGAAGGCCTATTACCAATGGAGATACTGGAGAATGTGGAAGAAGGTTGGAGTTCCATATTTGCTGACAACTACGTGATACCAGAAGCCATTCTCAATCTTGCCGCCAATCTTGCCGTGGATCAACTGGTTCAAACTTTATTGTCTGAGGATGATCATGTACGCGACATACATCATGTCTTGTTGTCCACGAGGGATGGAGCAGAAAAGAAACTGGTTACTGGAAAAATTGAATCAGTCTTGAAAGACAAGGAGATCATGGTTCGGCTTCATGAAATCTTCCTCGGAGTCTTGATGATCAATGCATCGAATTATCAAAGCCAGGTGGAGGTCTCTGTTCGACAACAGATTGTTCAACAACTTCAACTTCCAATGGTAGAAGGTAATGATGATTTGCTTAAAATAAGAATTGAAGAGGAGATGTCAACTAAGAAATATTTAGTGCTTTTGGTGGATGGAGACGCCAATGAGCCTTTGGATCCACGAAAAGTGGGTTTTTCAGAGGAAGAACTTGCTGGTGTTGTAGTGTTGATTACCACTGAATCAGTAAAGCCAGCCAAAGATGAATTAGCATTGGCAATAGATCTAAGTATCAGAACAAAGGATCACTTTTTGCCATGGGAGGTCTTCTGTCGGAATGTTGACAATGAGTTTTTACGATCATCTAATACCATCCAGACAATTGCAGCGCGTATAGTTGAAGAGTGTGGTAGCCATCTTCTTGCCATTGTCACTGTAGCAAACTCACTAAAGGATGGAAATCATGTTAAATATTGGGAAGATGCTGTCATCAAATTGTGTTCGCTTCATCCTTCCTACGACATTAGTATGTTTCATGGTCAGAGTGGAATCATGTTCAAAGCATTCATAAACTTCATCTGGTGCGATATAAGTGAGAGACATAAACATTGCCTTACAAGCTGTTTATTCATTCCAGAAATCAAATATGGGAAGCTGGAAATTGATCTAATCAATGATTGGATTTCATCTGGACTTGTGGATGTTGGAGAAGCGAAGCATTGCTTGAGAGAGCTCATTGACCGTTTTGTCTTGTTGCAATTTAAAGACACCAAGTCCAGGTATATTCAAATTCCAGAAGATACATATGCTATTGTGCAATCATTAAACACTCAGAATCCTTTTTTCATTAAAAAATCCGGGTTAGCGCTGGTTGAGCCACCAAATAGTCAGCCTTGGCACAGTGTTGTGTATATTGACTTGGCAGACAATAAGCTATCCGAGCTACCTTTGGCCCCAAACTGTCTCGAGCTCAAAGCGTTAAAGTTGCAGAACAATTTTGACTTGACAGCAATCCCACCTCTTTTCTTCTTCAAAATGCCTATACTTCGCGTCTTGGACTTATCCTATACCAGCATAAGAGAACTACCAAGCTCCTTTTTTGAGTTGGAGCAACTTAGAGAACTCTATATGAAAGGCTGTGAACGCTTCATGAAACTATCCTCAGAGGTTGGAAAATTGAAGAACCTTGAGAAGCTTGATCTTGACAAGACTCAGATCATACATTTGCCAAAAGAGGTCCAAGAGTTGACCAATCTCCAAAGTTTGAATCTATGTTTTTACGAGTATCGCAGCAAGAAAAGCAATCAATATACGAGCTCGACAATTCTGCCCCCTGGGGTGATTTCCAAACTAAAGGAGCTAAAACACTTAAGCATTGGCGTAAATCCTGATGACGAGCGTTGGCAACAGAATGTACAAGTCATTCTACCAGAAATCTTGGCATTGGAATGCTTGCAAAAGGTTAGTTTGTACATTCCAGAACCGGAACTTCTGAATCTCATGCCAGCTAACATTTTTAAGCTTGATTTTAGATTCGTTGTTGGCCAACACATGTCGCGAATCATATCCAGTACACCATCCTTGGTTGAAGAAAACTTTAAACAAAGCGAGCGTAGCTTAAAGTTCGTGAAAGGTGTTGGTGTCCCTTGTGAAATTAAAGATGCTATTAGACACACCAAGGCTTTATTCTTAGATCGACATATGACTGCCAAGGATCTCTCAGTATTTGGCATGATGAATATAAAGCAAATAAGGGTGTGCATATTGGCTGAATGCAAAGAGATGAAAACAATTGTGGATGGAAGATGCTCAAGTTCTGAGGATATTTTTCCCCATTTGCTATTGTTGAGTGTACATTACATGAAGAACCTAAGAAGCATTTGTGAAGGACAAGTTCGTTCTAGTCATTGCTTTGGTATGTTGAAGTCCTTAGCACTGCATAATTGTCCTAAATTAACAAGTATTTTCACCTTGGATTTTGTCGGCAATCTTTCACTCTTGAAGGTCCTTGTAGTTAAAGATTGTCCCAAAATAAGTTCTGTAATAACATGCGGATCTTTCGAACTCGTCGAAGTAGGGAATTTTCTTCCTAAATTAAGGACCATGTTATTTCTCCATCTTCCGGAATTGATCACCATTTCCAAGGGACTACAAATGGGTCCAAATTTAGAAAGAATAGGAATTTATAACTGTCCAAAGCTCCAGAGCCTTTCAAAGTCGGAACTGTCAAGCCAAAATTTAAAAGTCATCAAAGGAGAAGTTAAATGGTGGGAGGCACTGAAGTGGAGTGAAGCAGAATGGGGAACAGAGGGTCGGCCATCCCAGTTTGATTGCATCTTTTCCTCAATCAATCAAGAAGCTGACATTATGACTCAATTAGGGCTTGATGATGGTATTGATGACAGCCCAGGTATACTAAGCCTATCGATATTTGAGATTCATTTCATAGATTATAGTAAATATGGCATTAATAAATTTACTTACTAAAATGCAGTGAATTTATATTAATGAAATTGAAGATTACCTTAATTGCCTTGCGTTGTGAAAATCATTGCAACAGGTGGAAACGTGGGGGAGCCTTTGGATGCTTCCAGTGAGATATTCAAGGACACAAAGCCAAATGCCATTGATGAAGAGACTTCGGTGAGAACTCTTTCTTCCCTTTGTATTTCAGTCATCTCGTTATCTATTCCTGAAATGCGAAAAATAAGCATTTCATTTTTTTTTATCAGCTAAATAAATATTTCATTTTAGAAGTTATTTGCATTATTCAGTCGGTGGGTATCTGAACTGAAGGTATTAAATTAGTGTTAATTGATCACTCACAGTGTAAAAATATATATACACAATCGTTGCCTCAATTGTCTGAAGAGATTTTATCTAAAATTTATGGTAGAGGACTTAAAAATTTAAGAAATATAATTATTTAAAAAGAAAATTAATTATTTAGTCCCTATAATTTTGATCCAATTGTAACACAGTTTTTAAATTTTGACTCGTTGTAGCTCAGTTTTTATAATATTAACTTAATTGTAACTTAGTCTTTTAACTTTATCTCTTACAATTTAGTCTTTATAGTTTCAATAACTTAAATATTAATTTTTATATTTTAAAAAATAAAATTATAAAAATTAAAAATATTTTAAACTTTTGATATTTATAATATTTATAAAGATTAAAGGGGTTTAATAATTTAAAATATTAGTAATAAATTATAACATAATTTAATCTTTATAATTTTATTACTAATATTATAAATATTAAAAGTTTAAAATATTATAATTTTAATCTTTAAATATTATAAATACTAAAACTTCAAAATATTGTTAATCTTTATATTTTTATTTTTTGAATAAAAATTAATATTTAAGTAATTGAAACTATAAGGATTAAATTATAAGAGGCAAATTTAGGAATTGAATTACAATCGAGCTAAAACTAAGTTAAAACTATAAGAACCAAATGATTAATTTTTTCTTATTTAAAATACTTAACATGGAGAATTATTTTAAAGGGGCAAACATTATTTTGATCCATATTATAGTTTAGAAGACATGTGGTTGATCATAATCTAATGTCCCTGCAACATTCCTGTTTAATGACAAACATGCAGATGATTGTCATATATAGAGTTAAAAAATAAAAAAAAGTATTGCTTCTAATTACAGGCATCATGTTGTTGTGGAATGACGTTTAAATTTGTTATTTAGAAACATGTATGCTCTGTTTGATGGATGGATGTGGCTAGTTGACTATAACTACTGTTGCCGACCCATGCTTACAATTTTTAACTATTGTTTATAACTTCGATGGCAACAACTTCAAATCATAACCAAGTCTAGCTTATGTTTACTTATAATCTGCTGCCCAGACCTCGGTTGTGACTTCAGAGAAGCAAATGAGAAATCAGAAGACACGCAGAGTTTCTGGCAGTGCAAAGGAAGGAGCAAGAGGAGCTTCAGGCCATTGTAATGGGCAGAGATGTCAGAAAGCAGGATGCAACAAGAGTGCTAAGGGCAGGACTGCTTACTGTAAAGGCCACGGTGGAGGAAGGAGGTGCCAGTACCTTGGGTGTACCAAAACTGCAGAGACGAAGACTGATTATTGCGTGGCACACGGTGGTGGCAGACGATGTAGTGTAGGTGGGTGCACCAAAGCAGCAAGAGGTAAGTCTGGACTTTGCATTAGACATGGAGGTGGAAAGAGGTGCAAGTTTGAATGGCGTGTGAAGGTTGCAGAGGGTAGTACAGATTTCTGCAATGCCCATGGTGGTGGAAAGCGGTTCAGTTGGGGAAAATGTGATAAATTTGCTATGAGCAAGTCCGGTCTCTGTGCAGCTCCCAGCAGCTTGATTGCTCCTGCAGCCTCCTGCAGCAGCAGAAGTGTTGTGTCCGATTGCGCTGTGATTGATTCCATAGTAAAATCTGCTGATTGAAGACGGTTAGCGAGGTCAACGACCTGTACAAGTGGCATGCAAACCTTTTTTTTTTTTTTTTTGTGTAAGTGAGGGCATGGTTGTAACTATCAAGTTAACTTTTTAAATTTATTGTTTTTAAGTTTTTAATTTATAAAGTTATGTTAATTTACTCATAAACTCAAATTAAATGAAATTCAGTAAAACTCACGAGTTATTTCTTTAAATTTATCATTTTTATGTTCATAACTTACAAAATCATGTCAATTTACTCATAAATTCAAATTAGATGAAATTTATTAAATTTATTAAACTTGTCAATTTTTAATTGAGTTGAGCAAATTAAGTATATAATGTATAGAACTTGTTTTTGTAGGACACGATTCAAAGAAAAATAAAACTTAAAAAGTAAAAATTAATAGTAATATAGAAAAATTGATAAAAAGATCATATTGAAATTAAAATTGTGCTTAAGCACCAAAGTAACCAAGCTGATTATTTTATTCAAGAAACGATGAAGGGAATTGACCAAAATGCCATGGGAGAAAAGAAACAGAGCGGAGATGATTTCCAGCACAATGCTTCTCATTTCCTTCGTCTTTCTCATTGATTTCTTGACTCTTGCTGTCAGCATTCTCATTTCCTTCATCTTTCTGTTTCCGGCACAAATGCCATGGGTTTGTCACAAACGATTCAATGCAGCTTCTCTCGCTCCTTCCCCACTCGATTCAGTTGAGTAATAGATTTAGCTAGCTGAGTAATTACTTAAGGATGCCTCAGCTAGTGTCATCACCAATGTTTGATTCACCAATACAAGTTTTTGGTTCGAGCAACTCACAGAACAAGATGGTCACTAAAGTTTACATTGTATGAGTGCTTCTTCCTCTTCTCTATTTTTTTTTCTTCTTTTTGTGTGTTCAGTCTGATTGAGCAGCATCGGCTGCTTCGAAGGGCACCGAAATTTCATCTTGTTTTCTTATTTTCCCAACTTTTTTGGCTACACTTCCGTGAAGTTCATAGATTTTCTTGTGGATTCTGGGGTTGTCTAGTTTCTCCATCAATTTCATTAGCGAAATGATTGATTGGAGGATCGCTCTTATTAACTAGTTGTGGAGTCACTGTCCCTTCTTGCTTTGGCGCTGTGTTTTTTATTCTGGACATCGGTGATGATGTGCTGAGAATTGAATGCAAATTTTCTTGGATAGCACAATTGCGAGTATATGAATTGGGATACAGGTTTTTCTTGCAATATGCTTTTTCTGCATTGCATGTCTTCAAATTGGAGGATTTTCTGGAGGAAAGTCAACTATGATTTCCTATTGTTCCTTGTCATCTTTTTCATTCTTCTGAGTTTTTTAGTTTAGCCTCGCGCCAATCCACGTCGTGATTTAAATGGAAATATGCGATTGACTTCGTCTAATGTTTGTTTATTTGACTTCCTTTCTCATTGGCTCTATTTTTTTTGTGTCACAAGTTCTATTCCCTATAAGCTTGTGAGTTTTAGTTGTTCTGATCTGATTTGAGTTTGGTTTGTTTGTTTGTGTTGATCTTTTTTTTTTGTGTTAATTTCTTTTACCCTTCATAGTTTGCTTCATGGTTTTTGTTGTTTACCAAATCTCACACATATATTTGCTCATTTGATATCCAGCTGTAACTATGACAGTGGTGTGAATATAACGATCAGTGGTTGCACAGGTATGGTCCAAAGGTTATCAATACATATTCAACAGAGTTCTTGATCAAGATAGCTGATGGGAAGTGCATAAGGAGATACAAATTGGTAGTGTGGATTTTAATCATTTTTTCTATGAGAATTTGAAATTATGTAATATTTATATTCTTGTGCATATTTCTTCATTTTAATTTTTAATTCTACCTTATTGACAAACTTCACTTTAAATTGAACTGTATGTATTAAGTCCGATGTTGAGGTGGGAAGGTTTATCCCTAGATAATCTCTAAAAAATCAGTTTAGAGAAGACGGTCTAATGTTTTTAGAGGAAACAAGTTAAAGGGACATCTACAGTGGTCTGAACACTGGAGCCATTTTAATTTTCCCCATCCTTTTGGTCTTTTTTGGTACACCCTCATGTTCTGATCTTTTTGTTTTTGATTTACAACATATGTGACAATTATTGTTTTTCTGCTCTTCCTACCCACCTTCATTTTCTCTAAATACGAACCTATCTCACATGCCATAGCTTTGTGCAAGTTACATCTATATATATATGTATATGTATATCTATATGTGTGTGTGTGTGTGTGTGTGTGTGTGTGTGTGTGTGTGTGTAGTTTATCTGCTCTTTTATTTGATTGTTAGACTTGAAACAGATATATTGAGTGTCTTTTGATTCTTTTTACCTATGGTCACGCTATATCCATTTAGCAAACAAATGAAGGAGCAAGTGTTGGAAGTAAACTTAATACAAGCATCTTTTTTGTACTCTTCTCAGACTGTTAAAGTTGAAACTAATTTAGTGCTCAATCCTTTTTAGGGTCATATCCAAGGAAAGCATTGTTATGTTATCATCTTGTAAAGTTGTAATTGGTCATTTCTTCTTTATCGTTTATCATTTATCATTTTTGTGAGTCTTTATATCCTGTGTTCTGCAATTCTGATGGTTTCAAGGTGGTGGACAAGACACTACCCCCGTGAGTTAATGCAATCTCTTACTTGTCAGATAAGATAAGATCAACAAAACATGGCTAGTTGAAGCCAATTATAACAATATAAGACATTTATTACTCAAAACTAATGAAAGCCTGAGAACACTTGATCACTAATCTGGTGGTTCTGAATTTCTTCAGATTGACATCCATTACTCAGCTTGTTCATCATGGGATGATTTTTGTGCTGATTGGATATGCATTCGGTGCTTGCCTATTTGAGATAGAGGAGGTGAAAGGTGGGTCTCCATATGGTGCAAGAACATTTGCTGGAAATGGCTCAAGACAGCCTTCTGAATTGGAATTGGCACAAGCTTTCCATCAGGGCAAGTACTTTCCTGGCATTTCCAAGAGGCTCAAGGGATCTTCTTCATCCAAATGATTTTTTCAGTTCTTATTTACTTACTCTACCTCGTGTTTTAGTTACTTATTATGAAACAAAATAAGATGCTACCTGGGATTAAAAAACAAGAGTGAGAACGTAAAGATGATGTTTTTGTTGAAAGTAATTGTTGTCACACTATAACTTGGAATACAGTACTTTACTACCAATAACAAGAATTTACTTGCTCTATAGTTTGAGTGGCTTAATGGGCTTTTTTGTTTTGCATTATACTAGAATATCTAATCAAAGTGCTACACCATGGGCATCTTTAAGATCATAGGTTGCTCACTATCAAAATCAATTTGCCTCACTGTGTTACTTATTTTTGTTACCTTAGATTTAGTTGAAAGCTATCAAACATGGCATTTATGACTCAATCTAAAATTAAAGAAAAATATTTCATGGCATTGATTTTTGCTTCATGGATTTATGGGTGCAAGGATTCTAGCTTAAGATACACTTGTTATGGCTTGGGGTGCAAGGGGTATGATTTCGACACAAAAGGCATAGCTAAAGTGCAAAGATTCTGGCTTGAGTGCAAGAGATTTGGTTTAGGATGCAAAGCTTCTGGTTTAGTCATTTCCATGTAATTCATATTTGTTTTTATGCAATTCAAGGGCATTGCAATGGTTCACATGTAATTCACTAGATATTATATGTAAATTATTCCTCAAACATCCTTGTGAATTTCTTCATATATTAATTTACATGTAATCTGTAGTCATTTTCATATAATTTAGAGGCACTGATAGGGGCGTGCTCTCTGTATCTTTGATTTATATGTAATTTGTTAGAGATTACATGTAAATCATTCCTTAATCATGCTCACGAGTTTCTTAACATATTGATTTACATGTAATTTATAGTTATTTTCATGTAATTCTAAGAGATTGACAGGGTGTTCTTTGTATGTTTAATTGACATATAATTCATAATCGTTTTCATGTAATTTTGGGGGATTGACAAGTGGGTGCTCTCTATATGTTTGATTTACATGTAATCTACTAAAAATTGCATGTAATTATCTAAGCCAAAAGCCTTGCACCTCAAACCAAAAGCCTTACATCCAAAGCCAGATGATACCTTGCACCCTAAGCTAGACACCTTACACTCCAACCAAAAGCCTTACATCTTAAGCCAGCAGTCTTGTACCAAAGCGAGAAGCCTTGCACTCAAGCCAGAAGCTTCCACCAAAGCCAGAAACCTTGTACCTTAAATCAGAAGCTTTGCACCTTAAACTAAAAGCCTTGCATTCTTTGATTGTTGAGTTTGCACGTAATCCTTGATTATTACATGTAATCAAAGGGTTTTGAATTTTTTTGGCAACATTTTCTAGCAACCCTTCACCTACCAGTAAGAGCTCTGCCAAGTGCACCGTCAACTATTGGAGCTCTGGCCAAAGGCAACTGGATTTTGTGCCTTTTTCTTAATTTTTTTTAGTTAACATAGAGGGGCATTTTTGTCATTTGATTAAATTATTTTATGAATAAAATAATAGGTTTGGTCCTTTCATGAACTTTGGTCTTTAGGCACAATTTTTATTCCAACCTGATCCTTTTCACCAATTTTCCCTAATAATAAAAAGAGAGAACAACAAAATAAATTATCCTTTTTTAAAATTTTTATGTTGAGTATGATAATCTATCAATATAGATACATTTAATTTCAATTATTTATATTTAAAATATATTTAAATCAAATTATAATCATACATTATATTTTTAATAGTTATTTATTAATAAAAGTGCACTTGTATAAATTTATGACTTGAGTTTATAATTTAAATTTATATCCTTACCATAAATTTACTTAAATTCATAAGTTTGACATTCTTAAGTGAGAGGTCGTAAGTTTGACCCTACTATAAGCAATTACACCTGAAGACAAGAGGATAAACAAGCTGATGAGTGGACCGGAAAGGAACATGTAATGGTTGCTGATCCTGTTGAGCGTTACGGAGCCTCTAACTAGCGTGACATAAGGCCGATGTCGGATGAGATCTTAAATTGGGAAAATGGCTCTGTTCTAACATGTAACGTATTTTACTTGTCACGCTAATGCACAGCAAAAGCAGCTGTTTATTTGGCTGTCAAGTTCGCTATCTGTTTGAATTTCTTACTGACTTTTTTTGGATTGATATAAGAATTAT